AGAAGCGGCGCATAGACACGACCATCCTGGATCTTGGTATCAAGAGGAGGTCGTGAGTCGCGCTGCGCAGGCATCTGCCGTGTGCTGAGCTGCAAGTTGTCAATATCAGCTCAGGGGATGCGGCAATCGGTTTTTGGTGGGGTGGCCCCCAATATTTGATTCGGCTCTCATGGTGGTTTTTAATGGGGCCCCAACTCGTAGCTTTGGCCACTGGGGGGGGGGGGGTAAGTTTTCAAGTTCAATTAGGTATAGCCCTGTGAGCCATTCGGCTCTTGAATCGGGTGCAACCGCAACAAACAGAAACAAAACATGAACAAGAAAACATCTTAGAGTGACTATGTGCAAACAGAAAATCCAAGAAAGACAGCAAAATATTGCAGAAAAACCACCGTACACCAACACTGTGCAAAAATTCCAAACATGGCCAAACCAAAACACTTTTCGAAAAAAAAAAATAAAGCCATAAAAGCTTTATAAGGCACCTACTGCCCCCCATCCTCGTCACCGCCGCTCTTCGGCTGTCAAGGTTTCCAAGGTGGCCGTGGGGATGGCAGCACAGCACAGCAATGGGGGGGGGGGGGGTGCCTGTCCACATCTACATTGGTTTGGTCCTCCGGTTGTGTGGATTGCGTCTCTGCACAAACGCCGGCATAAGTCGCTGACGCGAACACGACGAAATGTGCGAATGGAATGCTCACGGCCACATCGCCTTGAGTGCGTCCAATCATCGTAAAGCTAACGCTGACCAAGCGTTGCACGCACGTTGAACTCTTTCGCACCGTACGTAGCCAACAGGCCGGCGTACTTGACGGGAATGCGCGCCAGCAATGGTTGCTTTTGTTGTCCTGTTGTGAAGTAGCGCTTTTTTTTTCTTTCAGTAGAGACACATTTACCAAAAATCACGCACGCATGGATGCGTCGAGCACTTTTAAGTGTCGCATCTCGAGTGCATGAAGGACTTCCATCCGTTACAGTGCAAGGTCGGTGGTGCATAACGAGGGACGGCTCTATGTAGAGGCTGAGGAATCATCCCGGCAACACTGAACCATGAGGACAGCAATCAAAATAACAAGCAGAGGCATTTTTAAATTCCGAATTCGCTCAAGAAGGGCTCCACAAGTGACGGCATCACATCTACGCCTCTTTTTAAGGAAGGAAACAGGTGGACTTCTCCACAAGTCTGGCTGTCCGCCTGATGAAGCTAGTTGTAATTACTGGCGAAACGTCGTACTCTGATTGTTAATGTTGTTAATGTTGTGGCTTTGCTCTCAACGCACCGGTTAGTGCTGTACTCGTGACGAATTGGCCACGATCTGTTTACGTGACAACCCTTACTATTCTTAGGTTTTTTCGGTAAAGTCACGTAGGTAAAAAATAAATTAAAATTAATAAAAGTAAAAAAGATAAAATAAAAATCACGACATTTCGGAGGCAACACAAGCTTTCGTCTTCAGGCGGAACCTTACTAGTTGGCCGGTTTAACGACACATTTGTATATTTACGCGATCTAACCCAACAAAACCCCTCTATGGATTGTTATTGTTGTTCGCACCAGAGTCCGTGCACACATTTGAATTGTATCGGTCACCAAGGTCTCTATTATGTCGGCTTGCAAAGGGCACTTTCCATTCCTCCCGGTCATAAAAGGCGGTACGGCTCCGCAGAGAGATAGTCGGAGTCGGAGCGATTTCCTGCCCCAGTGAGCATGGAGATGGCGCTCAGCTGATGCTCACAGCCCTGCAGAGCCAGTGATGGATATTCCACATTCCTATGGCAGAGGCAGGGGGTGGAGGGTGGGCAGGCAGTCTGTCCGTGGCACGACCACTCTGTTGGCTTCCGCACAAATCGGTACTCTATTTTAACTACCTTGCAGGGATGATAGGCGGAGTCAACCCTTGCAAGCTGGGATGTGAACTGGCAACAACACGATATGGCAACCAAAGTAACACGAAAGAGGCATTTTTTTCCGAATTCGATACAACAGAAAATAACTCCACATTTTAAGAGCCGCGATGCAGTGTGAATACGAGAGGCGGTGGTCGTTTAAAATATAAAAACAACGTCACGAAGCAGCCGTTAAAAGAACCTCACGCAGCTTCGGAGATGCTGGTCTGCCGACCCTGCGATGGAGACTCGTGTCGATTCTAACTACATCATCAATAATACCAAAACAATATATTAAAACATCTTAAAGGGCCATTGCATTGGACGTCTGTAAAAAAAGGAGTTCATAGCTCATCGGATTCCTCCAGTATGCATTTATATTCGGATTCTGATTTCAAAATATCTCAAAATCGCTGCACGATACAGTACATACAAAATACAATGATAAAATAAAACTCAGAAATATCGATATTATCCAACAGAAATGCAGTAAAATACTGCAATAGCGGCAATAATGACAACTGCGCTTGCATTATGCTAAAACCCAGTAATGATAATAATTAAACCCGCGGAATTGGTAAAATCTAATTTTTAAAAAATTACAGGACAGTGTTCTTGAAGTGCCACCAAATGGCGATGACGTCACAACGTCGATTGTGCCAGGCTAGGTGCACTTTGGGGCCGCAAGCATTTTTTGGCACAAAGACAAAGATCCCCCGTGTAGCCTTCACAGACCGTTGGAGGCAAGTGCTGCTAGCGAGTAGCACCCAATGAAGGCCGGCACGGCACACGAGCGGGTGTGGGGTGGCCACCCCAGAGCACGTGCGCATGTCAGGTCAAGTACGTCGTGTTGGCGGGGCTCTGGGTGGGGGGGGGCAGAGGTCGCAAACGGGTTTTGATTCCTTACCCGTACCCGGCCGCACCAGGGTCGCAAACGGGTACGGGTATCGGGTACCTGATTGCGACCTCTGAGATGAAGCCATGTTGCAGGCGCGGGTGGGTTGATTCTAGGAACTTGAATTGTGAGAAGAGACAAGACGTTGGGAAATGAGTGACAAACAGTTACTCACCAGTGACTCACGGTCTACCGTACCCGTACCCGGCCGCACCAGGGTCGCAAACGGGTACCCGTACCCGGCCGGGTACGGGTAGCCGGTATCGGGTAGGGTACGGGTATCGGGTACCCGGTTGCGACCTCTGGGCGGGGGGGGGGGCAGGACACGTGGTGGCCGCAGTTGTCGTTGATGGCTCCGTTGGACAGGACCGGTGACAGAACGGCATCCGATGGAGAGGGAGATATTTGAGAGGGTTGATCCATCTCCCCCTCCCCACCAGGGGGAGATGGAGCAACGTGATCGGCTCGTGCGCTAGGAGTGGGATGGATCGTGGTGGCATCGTCGGAAGGGGACTGTGCGGATAGTCGAGCTTTATTCAGCGGTGGATAGAACACGACTCGTGATGATGATTACAATCACATTGAGGCATTTCCCCTCCCTCCTCCCCCCCAATTCTAATCGAGAAACTGGCGAAAATGTCCTTTTGCGTGCGATTCCCGAAGAGATCAGAGCGGGATTAGCGATTTACTTTCGCTCCGCTTTACTATAAATCTTTGGCATCCCAAACTGACCATCTGTGCTCTCTCGTCGCGCCGTCTCTCCGTCTCTGCGCGGTTTCTTTCCTCCGGTTTTCCACTGCGCCCGCGACGAAATCGCGACGTCTCGCCCGTCCACCGAATCGTCTCGAATTGAGTTGATTATAATCCGTTGTTGTTTGTAACGTCGTGGTCGGTCGTGGTGGTGGAGGCTGCAGTCGGTCAAGTGTCGAACCAGTCACGCGCACAAGGCATCGCAATAATCGTCGTAGTCGTCGGCCATGAACAATCCGCTGCTGGATGATGACCTCCCCAAAGCTGTCGGCATCACTCACGATCCTGCGAATGTAACGATCCAGCCGGCCGGGCCAGATTACATCGCTCCATCTCCTCGGTTTGGCGCCCGCGTGGCCGGCGTCGATGCTTGCATGCACAGTTACCATGCGCGTGTCGTTATCTCCCGGGGTCGATATTAATCGATGTATAATCGCAGCGTTACACACGAGGGCGAACTCTCAAAAGTCAACACAGATGAGTGTCGATATCATCCCCTCACCCCTATCCCTCTCACACAATCAGAACTCCACTGCCCCCCCTCACCACCACGCTCCCCACCCTCCATCCCACACTTCTCTCTGCCATCACCATCCTACTCCATCCACCACGGTATCTCCAACTCTCTATCCTCCCCTTCACCACATCTCCTCACTCCCTCTCTCCATCCATCGCTCCATCTTCTCTCAAGACGTCAATCCCGCATAAGCCCCATCTACTCTCCCCTCCCTCCCTCCATCCTCCCCTCCCATCCATCTTCCCCTTCCTTCCTTCCTTTTTTACGATTAGAGGAAACAAGAAGATGCTCGGTGTAGTGGGCACTTTGCTTCGTTCATCATTTCGTTTTTATTGTTTTTTTTAATGCTTTGCTTTATCTAAACCCCCCTCTCTCCCCCTTTCTCCCCTCTCTGTCCCCCCCTCTCCTTTCTCTCTCCTCCGTTCTCCCTCTCCCCCCCCCTCTGTCCATTCTCCTCTTTTTTTATCCTCCCCGCCCTCCATCCTCTCCTCCCTCCCTCCATCCTCCCTCCATCCTCCCCTCTTGTTCCTCCCTCCCTCCATCCTCTCCTCCCTCCATCCTCCCATCCCTCCATCCATTCTCCCTCCCCTCCCGACATCCTACCCCCCCCATCAGGCCTCCCCAGGCTAAACCCGCTCATTACCCGAATCACGCATGCGCAGGCTCCGACAACACCACACACAGTGCCACACCATCTCTTCCCCTCCCCTCTCCCTCTCTCCAATAAATAACGAAATCACACAGGCACACTGAGAGGGTGCCACAGCGATCACCCCGATACCGTTACCTCTCTAAGTATCCTGTTCGATAAGAGTGTCGTAGAGCGATATATATATTCATACGTGCGCAGCAGTAACCCTCTGGAGGGAGGGAGGACGATCGTACACTCGGGCTCGTGACAAAGCCGCGTGTGGCTGCCCCTTCCAGCAGTGCTCTGCACGTCTGGGGCGCGCGCCCTCCTCTAGCAAAAACCAAGGCGCGAGTGAGTACCATGTTGCTTTATCTGCTCTTTTTTTGGGGGGGGGTGTGATGGGCGCCTGTGCGGTGAAGGTCGCCTTCGATGGCTTGCAACCCTGCCGCCACACTTGATCATCGTCATGATCTTCATCATCATCATGCGCGTCATCATCACTGGCATCAATCATAATCGGCATCATCATCATCATAATGGGCATCAGCATCATCATAATGGGCATCATCATAATGGGCATCATCATCATCATGGGCATCATCATCATCATGGGCATCATGGGCATCATCATGGGCATCATCATGGGTATCATCATCATCATGGGCATCATCATCATGAGCATCATCATCATGGGCATCATCATGGGCATCATCATCATCATGCGCATCATCATCATCACTGGCATCATCATCATGGGCATCATCATTATCGTCATCGTCATCCGCGTCGCGTCTCGTGTAAACAATGGGTCGGACGGATCTGCGAAGCGAGGCTGTCTGTTTAACTCGGCGTATGCGGCGTCGGCTTCATCGTCGTCGCCCGCCGCACTCGATCCACTGCTGGATGAAGGACTCGTCACCGAAGCCGCCCCCACCTGTCACGATGTAGCAACAGCAGCTGATTACATCGCTCCATCTCCCGCCCCCCTTCACCCGGGTGGAAGTACTCTGCCACGCGCTCCATTCGTTGCGCTGCTAATGCACGGCGCTTTTGTCAATCCACTGCTGGATGAAGGCCTCCCCGCACGCCGTGGCAGTCGACGTGGGACAGGGGAAGAGGTGGGAGGGGCGAGGGGTGGGGGGGGGTGTTTGACCATACTTCACCACGCTGGGCAGTGCTAACGTGGCCGTGGCCCAGGATGGAGCTCTTGAATTCGTAGCGCCACGTGCTCGACCATCGCGCCACCGCTCCCCACACACGCACAGATCTGCGTTGAAATTCGTTGTAATAATTACGAGGTAGTAGTAGTAGTGGTGGTAGTCATAATACGAGTGGGAATGTTAGTCACTGATTGCAGGTGAGCCTCAAGACTCTTTGACGTGAGGGTCCTGGCTCCTGTACCCCCATCAGCAGCAACGACTGGTTTTAGATGAAAGGTTTTCCCCCACTTCTCACCGTGATCCACCACAACCCCCTAGCCTCCAATGCTCCGGGCATCACAGGCGTGTGACACCGGCCCCCACCTCGACCCCCACATAACAGATGCCGGATTGTAAGACGCTCCGGAAAGTAAGACGCATACAAGACGTGTGCCCAATGTCAATGCAGCCGAACGTCTCCTATTGCAACAAGACGATACCAAGATCCCCCGTATAACCTTAATAGACTGTAGGGGCAAGTGCTGTTAGCGAGCACCTATAGAGGGGGTGGGTGACCAGCACCACGCCCGACCGCCTTTGTATCCCCAGTGACGATGTTTACACACCGCACCAGGTACTCATTTGAGGCCGAGTCGACCTCGGGGAGGCCAGGACCGGTTCAGATAATCGGCACTGGTGTTGGCCGTGAGCGGCAATTGAACTCGGGTCACCGGGGTTCATAGCGCAGCGCGCTAACCGCTACACCACCGCTCCCCACACGCACACAAACACCTGATTATAAGACGCACCACAACTTTTCATTTAAAAATATAAGGGGGGGGGGAGTGAATACGTATCCCTGTGTATGTGTGTCAACATCAGCACTGGGGAGACAAAGACGGCCGGGCGTGGTGCTGGTCACCCCCACCCTCTTCGTGTGCCGTGCCGGCCTTCATAGGTGCTCGCTAACAGCACTTGGCCCAGCAATCTGACAAGGCTATGAGGCGGGTCTTTATCTGTGTATGTGTATGTACGTACGGAGCGCTAACGTTAACGGAGAGCGCGTTTGCGTTAGGAACCTGGCGATCCGAGTTCGATACCCGCTCATAGCCAACATCGGTGACGATTGTCTGAGCCGGTCCTGGGCCTCCCCCTAGGTCGACTCGGCCTCAAATGAGTACCTGGTGCGGTGTGCAAACATCGCCGCACGGCAGACAAAGGCGGCCGGGCTTGGTGTTGGCCATCCACAAGCCCCCTTTGTTTCCCGTGCTGGCCTGCATAGATGCTCGCGAACAGCACTTAGCCCAACAATCTGACAAGGCTCTAAGGCGGGTCTTTGTCTCTGTGTATTTGTATGTACAGGGTATGCAGTATTCCCGCGTGCGTGTGTGTTGCGTGGTTTTGTCAGCCTTGACAACTGCGCACTTTGACCACGAGGTGGCGCGCCATGAGTCGACCGTGAAGAGCGCTGAAAAGTGAAGGCGCAGCACATGCAAGTGCCTCGCTCACATCGCTCCACTGCTGGCTGAAGGGCCTCCCCCAAGAGGAGGGAGCTTTCTCGAGATCCCTCTCCCAGAGGGGCATTTCGATGTTGGCCTCTGCTCGTTCACGCTCGCACCCGCGTCTTGGAAGAGGATGGGGAGCAACCCACACTTTACCCCCATCCCACGTGACCTGCCCGAGGGGTGGGTCGGGAAAGAACTCACGACCTCCTGTATACCAGGCGAGGGAGTTAACATCTCACCACCGTGGCGCCTATTCATTCCTGCTCAGGGCCAAGCCCAGTGACGATTATCTAAACCGGTCCTGGGCCTCCCCTAGGTCAACTCGGCCTGGAATGAGCACCTGGCACCGGCGTGTGAACGTCGCCACGCCGGGGAGACAAAGGCGGGCCGTGAGCGTGGTGTTGGCCACCCTCAGCACCCCTCTCACGTGTGACCCCGTGCCGGCCTTCACAGGTGTTGCTCGCTAACAGCGCTTGCCCCAACACTCTGTTGAAGGTTCTACATGGGTAATCTGTGGTGCACCAGCGTGGTGAGATGTTAACTGCCTCGCCTGATATACAGGAGGTTGTGGTCGATCCCGACCCTGACTCCTGCTGCTGGAAATTTGGAGTTTGCATGTCTCTCTCTCACCGTGGTCGTGCGGATATTTCTCGGTTTTCCCCTCCACATTTAGAATCAACATCACCACGCGTTTAGAGTATTTGGCTGCTGTCCGTGATCTCCACGTGATCATGATGATGATGATACCCCACGTCGTTGGGCTATCACTTGTTGCCAGGTCGCTTAGTGGGCCTTACCTGGTTAAATAAAACAAATGGTTTAAATGGCTTCACTTGAAGCTTTCGTGACTGCAGGAATTCACATTCTTTGGGTCTTTCGGTGAAGTCACGTAGATAGGTAAAACAAACATTAAACTAAACTAAAAACTACGACGTTTCGATCGCAACACAAGCAACTGTGATCAGGTGGGAAGAAAAATCTTGATGACGGTCGCTTGTGTTGCGATCGAAACGTCGTAGTTCGTAGTTTTTTTATTTTTTTACCTATCTACGTAACTTTACCGAAAGACCCAAAGAATATGAAATGGCTTCGTTGAATCTTTGCCATTTGTTGTGTACGCGTGCGAGCAGGTCAGCGGCCGCATCTTCCAGCGATCCATGTCTTCCTCCGACCTGGGCCTCTTCTCCGACGACGACAACGCGGGGCTGAGGTCGCGGCGCTCCCACCGGGACGACGACGGCGAAGATGGCGACGACGATGACGACGAGGAAGAGGACGACGAAGACGACCGGCTGAGCGTGAAGTCCGACTCCCTGCAGTGGCTGCAGGCGGGCGACACCCTGCCGTGGAACCTGCCGCGGCACCAGCGAGCCAAGATGCGACGACCTCACGAGTCGGTGCTCGACCCGGCGGAGAGGGCCGTCCTTCGCATCGCCGGTGAGCGCACGCCGTGGGATGGTGCGGGGGAGGTGGGAGGGGGGGGTATGTGAGATTGACGAGTGGCGGTGGCGGTGTTGGTTGTGCCAGTCGTCTCGGTCGCTCAAGCCACGGGCACCTGGGTCTGTCCCGCCCGTGACCTCGTGCCAGCGAGCTTTCGACACTTCACGCGGCCTTAAAGGGCACATAGGCTGGCACAAGCGTCGGGGTGACGTTACCCGCCACTTGGTGGTGAATGGCGGTGGTTGTTGTGCTGTGGTCCCACGTGACTCTCCACTCTTGAGCATCTGATTGAGTTGTCACATCCCTGATGTATTAGTCCCCAGCAATGCCCCCACCCCCACCTCCAATCTAGCCCTTTGACCACCGGTGCCCCCGACCCCTTCCCCAGCGCCCGTGCCCCCCTCCCTCCACCACCCCCCCAGGTTGCTAAGGCCACAATGCAAGGAGTGAGAGGTCACGATGCCTCGTGTCGACGCGGTGTTCGCGAGGCACGTTCCACGTTGTGTATTCGTGCGTCTGGTCACCGCAAATGTGGCGCCGATGTCCGCCCACACACTGACTGTACCGGAGAGCCTCGCCGTGCGGGTGCCACGTGAGTGAAGGCCCAGAGAGTCCCACAGTCGGGGTACCACGGGAACGAAGGCCCAGAGATCGCCGCCGCCACCGCTGAGAGGCGAGAGATCCAAGTCCGACGTCGGCGTTCTTGTTGGATCGGAGGGGTGCAGCAGCAGCTCCAGAATATACGGGGGGGGGGGGGGTGGGGGGCGGGTGGGGTAGCGCGAGGTCATTCAGGACCATGATGCGAGGAGGATGAGGACCCTGAATTTTAAGCGAAATTTAAAACCGGCGACGGGTAAGGTGAAGCGGGTGATAATGGTTGTACAATATCAATATCGGTGACATTGACGGTGTTAATGGCGTCGCATAGTCAATGCCAATATCATCATAGTCAATTTTATCCTGTAACCAACCCATCATTGTTAATCATCATCGCCATCATCACCACCGTCGCCATCGTCTTTGTTATCATCGACGGCAACAGCTTCCTCTTCACCGCAATCATCATTCCTACCACCAACCCCATCATTGTTAGCAACCCCATCGTCATCATCATCATCGTCCTCATGGCTATTGCAACTACAATGCGACAATTGCCATCACCGCCATCGTCACAATTCATTAAAATATTATCACGTGGAAAAATCCCGAGAGCGTCAACATCTCGTTTCGTTTACAAGGGCGTTCCTTCCATGGTGTTATTACCACCGGCATCACCACCACTCCCAAAATCACCAACACCACCGCCAACCACCACGATCATCAACACCACCAGCATCAACACCGCGACCACCACGATCATCAACACCACCACCACCACTGCCAAGATCACCATCAAACACCGCCACCACCACGATCATCAACACTACCACCACCACTGCCAAGATCACCACCACCATCAACACCGCCAACCACCACGATCATCAACACCGCCACCACCACCACCACGATCATCAACACCACCACCACTGCCAAGATCACCACCACCATCACCACCACCACCACCACGATCATCAACACCACCACCACTGCATCCATCACCGCTCCCGCAACCACCCATCAGTATAATCGCCACCAGCACCATTATTACCAAGACCGTCGTCTTCACCACCGCCGCCACCATCACCGCCACCACCGCCGCCACCACCGCCACGGTGCCCTTGTGACCGCGGATTTGCGGTGGCATCTCCAGGGCGGTAGGGGGCTCGGAGCGCGGCGTGGCGCGGTCACTCCGCAGCGATTCGGCAGCCGTGGGACTCGGGCGGCCCTTCCTCCCGTCCACCGTTACACCCCCCCCTCCCCCGCCCGGCGCACGGCTGCTAATGGGTATTGATTGCGGCTACGGGGAAACGGGGAAGAGGAGCAGCTCGCGGGAAGGGGAAGGGCGTCTCGCGTGTGCCCTTGTGCCAGGGCGGTACCAATGGGGGGGAGCCGGGTAGGAGAAGGAGGGGGGGTCCCTGTATGGGTGTCGATGAACCCTTCCACTTGAACTCGACTGCTACCCCAGCCACCCCACAATGCAATGGGGTTGGTGGGGGGCACTGTGTACATGTGAATGGGGTGCGCCACGGTAGCGAGATGTTAACTACCTCTCCTGGTATACAGCAGATCGTGGGTTCTATCCCGACCCTGACACCTGCTGTGTATTTGGAGTCTGTGTGTCTCTCTCCGTGGTCGCGTGGATCAACGTCACGCGTTTAGATCATATGGCTGCTCCAAATGTCCACGTGATGATCGGCCACTTCGTTGAGCTATCATTTATGGCCATGCCGCTTCGAGTTCTATAGCTCATTTCAGTTTTCAGTTTTTCACTTCAGTTTCATGTATTAGGTATAATGCTGTGAGCCATGCGGCTCTCGACTCGGGTGCAACCGCAACAAACAAACATGGGGTGGGGGGCTCACCTGCTGAAATAAAAAATAGTTTAGTTACGAGTTTCATTTAGACTCGGGCTGATCAGCGTGGTGAAGTATTGGTTAATTAGCTCTCATGGCCGACACAGTGTGGCAAGGCCTCCAACCAGCAGAGTATTTCGCTGCTGTACATTTCCGCGTGACAAGCCACTTAGTCGAGCTGTCATTTTCGGCCAGTTCGCTTCTGAAATAGAGCTACATAGCTCAGTGGGCCTTACCTGGTAAAACAAAAAGTAGTTAAGTGTGAACTTCTTTCGTACCGTACGTAGCCAACCGTGCTAATCGGACGTGGCGGGGCAGGGGGTGGAGGGGGGGCACAGGTTCGTTCAGCTCGGCCAGGAGATGGCTGGACAAGCAAATGGATTCTTGAATCCATCTGTGTGGCGTAAAGCTTCCAGGGTTGTTTTTCCCCCGTCCCCGTTTGTACCGTCAATCTCCCTCGTTTGAATGATCGCTCCGACATTGTTCTGTCTCGACGGGTATCGTCCGTCTCACTTTTATCATTGTCCCGTCATTTGTATTGTTTCGTCATATTTGCATTGTTCCAACAAATTGTATTGTCCGTCTCGTAAGAATCGTTCCTTCTCACTGTTGTCGCTTATTTCGCATGTGTTCTCTCCGGCTCGTGTTCGTCTTGTTTGTTCGCACTGCTCAGGAGGCGGGGGGTCGCTGCCCGAAACGTCAGCGTCACTCTCCTCTGTCTGTTCGGTCGCAGGGCGGTGTGACGTTTCGTATTTAATCGGCGCTCGTGCACCCACGGTGACTGCCAACGCTTCCCCGAATAGTTCCATCCCTGACACCCCCCGCCCCCCCCCCCCCTCGTGACCTTTCAAAGAGTCCGGAAGGAGCCTGAGGATACGTTTGGTGGGATCGTGAATTTTCTCGCGTGCCTCCTGGGATCTTTGTCTTCTACGTCTCACAGCTGAGACCCTTCCTCTATCTCCCGTGCAGGGGATGAATAATTATTCCTACATTAGATGCATATATTTTATTTCAGCAAGTAAGGCCCACTGAGCACTTTTTTTAGAGGCGACCTGGCCACATTTGATAGCTCAACGAAGTGGCTCATCACGTGGACATTTATAGAAGCCAAATACTCTAAACCAGTGGTTCTTCACCTTTGCTGCAGCCTTGCACCCCTTTAGAGTTCTCAATCTTAAAAAAATATATCAAATGCTAATAAATACATGGGGTTTGATGAGACATAGTAAGTTGTAACCCACGTGCCTAATTTGTGTTTTCGATGATTTACCTTCTAAATAAAATCTGTCCATGTCTCGCACCCCCCAGAAAGGGCATCTCGCGCACCCCCAGGGTGTGGTGCACCCCAGGCATGCCCCGCGCTAGACTCGCGTTGTAGCGGGCGTGGTGCGCGTTGTAGCGAAACACGTTCCATTTTAAAACAAGACTCGCCGCGTGAACGCCACGGGGAGATCCTGCATGGCTGTTCTTTTTTTACGCGCGTCGACATGTTCGCGATTCCGCATTTGAATCGCGTCCTGAGATGCAGTTTAATTTAGATGGTGTCATCATCATCATCATCATCCGGAGTCAATGTGGCATCCCTCCTCCTCCTCGTCATCAGCATCACAATCAGGCGACGGCACAACGACGTCGCCCCCCCCCCCCCAATGGCGCCCCCCTCCCCCACACTCTGCTCACCCCCCTCCCCACCCTCAGCCCAGCCACCCTCCGCCTCTCTCCCACCTCCACCCCCACCCTCTGTCCCCCGCCTCCGTCCCCCACTTCGACCTCCACTCTGCACCCACCCTCCTCCTTCCCCTCCTCCCCTCCCCTCCTCCCCCACCCTCCTCCCCTCCTCCCCCACCCTCCTCCCCCACCCTACGCCCTCCCTCCTCCCACACCCTCCTCCCACCCCGCCCCCACCCTCCTCCCCCACCCTCCGCCCCCACCCTCCTCCCCCACCCTCCGCCCCCACCCTCCTCCCCCACCCTCCTCCCCCACCCTCCGCCCCCACCCTCCGCCCCCACCCTCCTCCCCCACCCTCCTCCCCCACCCTCCGCCCCCACCCTCCTCCCCCACCCTCCTCCCCCACCCTTCTCCCCTCCTCCCCCACCCTCCCGGCCCCACCCTCCGCCCCCACCCTCCTCCCCCACCCTCCACCCCCACCCTCCTAACCCCCCCTCCGCCCCCACCCTCCGCCCCCACCCTCCTCCCCCACCCTCCTCCCCCCACCCTCCTCCCCTCCTCCCCCACCCTCCGCCCCCACCCTCCTCCCCCACCCTCCTCCCCCACCCTCCGCCCCCACCCTCCTCCCCCACCCTCCGCCCCCACCCTCCTCCCCCACCCTCCTCCCCCACCCTCCGCCCCCACCCTCCTCCCCCACCCTCCTCCCCCACCCTTCTCCCCTCCTTCCCCACCCTCCGCCCCCACCCTCCTCCCCCACCCTCCGCCCCCACCCTCCTCCCCCACCCTCCGCCCCCACCCTCCTCCCCCACCCTCCTCCCCTCCTCCCCCACCCTCCTCCCCCACCCTCCTCCCCTCCTCCCCCACCCTCCTCCCCCACCCTCCTCCCCCACCCTCCTCCCCTCCTCCCCCACCCTCCTCCCCCACCCTCCTCCCCCACCCTCCGCCCCCACCCTCCTCCCCCGTTATTCGTTGATGCCGCGAGGTGGCGCCACGCGCCTCTCGCTTTGTTCCCAAAGTGCCACGCCCAAAGTGACCGTCGCAGCGACGTTCGTCAAATACACTGTGTCTCTGTGTGTGCCCTTAAACGGGGGCAAAACATATGAAATAGGCGACGTTTCGGGCATAGCAAGGTCCCTTTTGGCAGAAACGTCGACTATTGTATGTTATCGTTAAGGCCACGGTGGTGTTGACGCATCTGAGTGGTTTTTTTTGTTCCGTGTGCTCATTGCGCCGATGCCGACGCTTGCCGACTGGCAGCCTCGGCCAAGTAACTTATTCATTTATCTGTGGCCAGTCTAATGGGAAGGGGGGGGGAGCTCTCATCCAGCAGTGGAATGACAAATTGGCTTTGCTTGTGTGTGTGTGTGCGTGTCCTGTAGTCCCCCTGTCTGGGGAGTGGAAGTATTGCGGTGAGCGTGCTATGCTAAGCCACCCAAGTTACTACAAAATTTTTCGTACCAGGTAATGTCGAGTGAGCTCTGTAGCTCTTTGACAAATTATAGCTCTAAGGAAGTGGCTTATCACGTGGACATTTCTAGCAGCCAAATACTCTGAACGTGTGTTTCTCAATGTGGTGGGGAAAACCGGAGGACCCGGGGAAAAATCCACGCCACCACGAGGAGATTAAGACACGCAAACTCCAAATATACAGCAGGCGTCATAGTCGGGAGAGAACTCACTACCTCCTGTATACCAGGCGAGGTAGTTAATATCTCACCACCGTGACGCCTATTCAATTCCTGCTCAGGGCCAAGCTCAGTGACGATTATCTGAACCGGTCCTGGGCCTCCCCAAGGTTGACTCAGCCTCACATGAGTACCGGGTGCAGTGTGTAGTCAAATATCGCCACAGGGGAGACAAAGGTGACCGGGCGTGGTGCTGACCACCCACTCATTCGTGTATCACGCTTGCCTTCATAGTCGCTCGCTAACAGCACTTGCTTCAACAGTCTGTGAAGGCTACACAGGGGATCTTTGTCTGTCCCCTCTCCCCATTCAAATTCAAACTCATGACTCAACTCTTCATTGGCAATTTAGGTCAATGCTCACCCTCCCTGAAGCCTCAATTCCCTGGGATTATTAAACATTCATAGCCTCGCACTGTTGTGTCTAAAACATCTGCTGTGCCCTTGTATACAGCTCGTAATACTGTATTGAAATTCAGCCTACATACGTATGTGTGTTGAACTTCTTTCACACCATACGTAGCCAACCGTGCTAATCGGAGGTGCGGGGGGGGGGGGAAGGACAACAAACTAAAATAAAAAAGCGGTTCGAAATAAATGAGTTGTCAATTTAGATGATTTAAAACCGCTCAGCTCCAGTTGCTTCCTCATATCGGAAGGAAAGAGCGTTCCAGACGGCCGCAGTGGCGCATCTGAAAGCGCCACGCGATGCGGCGACCACCGCCTTTGTTCGATGGCTCCGCTAAAAGCCGATGGCCGGAGTTGGCGTGATGGATATGTCAGTTTTACACGTAGGCTTTCGCGAACAATATTTTTCATAATAAAGGGTTTTTTGGGGGGTTTAGTTCGTGTAAGTATAAACGTGCCCGTTAACCCGCCACCACCCGACACAGCCAATTAGTAATGTTTGTCACGTCACGGATATGTATTCATAACAAACAAAAATGTAGCTCGTATTTTTGTGCCGCTTTCCGTGTGTACCCTGGAGGGGGTTAGCTGGCGCTTGAGATAGCGATGTGTGTTCAGATGTAAACGGTACAAGGCGCGGCCCTGAAAGTGCCTGCTTCAAGGCCCTACTACCAGAGGGGAGGGGCCTCCACTACCATGCTTGGGAAGACTTCGTAGAAGAGCTCGGGGAGTTACTTACACTTTACCTCGCCACACGAGTAACCTGTCGATCGGCCAACTGCGGTGTGCCCACACTTATTCAAATCTGAACTAAAGGCCTATTTTTTTTGCCCAGGCATACGCTGGAAAATATCCATTTATATTTATGGTCCAACTGGCTCGTAACGTTTTGGCCGATCCACCTCCTGTGAAGGTTCTCCTGAACCCGGCAAAATGTTGGGATTGTGGTCCGGGGCATGGAGACCGAACAGATTTATTTATACTATGGGGACCTCATTTGCCAGTAAAAATATGATAATTGGTTCTTTACCCTTCTATCTGGCAACAAAACTGACAGTTTTGTTGCCAGATAGAAGGGTAAAGAATCAATTATCAGATTTATTTATTTTAATATATTATTTTCTGTGATGACTTTTTTTCTCGTAGTGTGTATTTTTCTCTCGTTATTCGTGTATTTATTTTTGTTTGTTTTTTATTTGCTAAGTAGTGGGGTTTTGTTTTTGCCTTACCTGTGTAAGGGACTGCCTTAATTGATCTGGCAGCGTTTTGGGCTGCAATAGCATGAATGACGCTCTATAAAATGAACTGAGTATGATATGCTGCACTGCTGGGTGAACGGTTGCGTAAGGCAGGTCGTAAGATTTTAAGAAATATTTTATTCTTTGATGAAATTATTAGACGTGTAATGAATGTCGTACGACATGTACACACGTACACTAAACAGGGAATGGCTTTTAAAGTTGTATAATCTCCTGTGGATGCCACTGGTTCTTCATGTTCTGCAGATGTAGATGCCACCACCGCCATGTATTGTGCGAGATTGAACTTTCAACAGGCAACTGGACACACTGACAGGTTTGTTCGTATCTCTGAAAGATGGAAGTCGAAGGTTATTAAGTAGAGGAGTCCATGTAACGTCCTGATTATAACTGCCTGTGATTGGATGGAATATCTGTTACATATTACTTATTTTGCAGAAAAGTCCTGATCATAACCGTAGGTGATTGGATTGCATCTGTCACATGTGGCTATTGTCACAGTAACATCCTGATTATAACCGTCGGTGAATGGATGGAATCTGTCATGGGTGACTTAATTCTAAGTACCTTCATGAATAAAGCTGCCCGTGAAAAGATGGAGCCTTTCATGTGTCGTCAAATTCAGCTTAAAACCCATTCATTGCATCCTAAACACATTTATTGGACAAAATGTAAATTACTTGTATATTCATATCTTGTGTGCGTATGGCGTACGTTTGTCGGATGGCCGTATGAATTTATATCTGTCGCTTTCATTTTTCCAATCGTATCTTATTCGAGTAAATAACACTTATTGGATCATACTATATTCGAGCAAAATTTTTTTATGGCTGCGTTCCTACCTGGATTCCTGCCTGGCTGGCTGGCTGCCGCATGGCCAAGTGCGTGTGGGTGTCGGTGACGTCACCACGCGCAGCATTGTGCT